ATAAAATTATTTTAATCAATAATAAGTAATTATTTATTAAACTAGTATTTGATTTATAAATAATTAATATATGCATTAATATGTTATGTAAATTTATATTGTATATTATATTACATAAGAATATCTCTCTCTCACTCTCTCCCTCACTCACTCACTCATTTACACTCATTCTTGAAAACATGTACAGTACTGTAAATTCTGTGCATTTCGCTCCTTAAAGTCTATGTTTAACCCATTTTTCCACACGAATTCAAAACTAATTATTATATATTCTGTTTATTCTTTAAGGAATTATCCGTTAAATTGATTTTCAAAATCATTTTCAGACTAAATTCTAAACAATAGTATTTGTGTTTTTGACTTTGTTTTGCTTTTGTAAGTGTCAACAGTCGGGTATATGCAGTAAATCATCAATTATATGATTATTCAAATTGAATGAACTGTAAGTACAGATATAGACGTCTTATCCCATAGAAAAACATTAGTATTATATCGTTATGTAATAAAAGACTATTTTCTATAATTCCGGGTCTTATTGTGTGACTTTATGTGACATTCATTTGTTTGGTTTCCCGCTATTCTTCCGACTCCGAGAAGAGCGACATTTGGATCAAATCGTAAGAAATTGTTGTCACGTATGGCTCGTATGACTCGCACTGGAAATGCATTGCATTCGCACAACATTTCCACTTTAATGTTAGCTTACATTTAAGTAAATCCAATGCCTTTCCAAATATATCGGTGCCATCATATTATTGATGAGAGAGAGAGAGAGAGAGAGAGAGAGAGAGAGAGGTATACGATTTGTACAGTAATTCAATGCCTAAAATACATTACAACAAATTGTGTTCATAAATGTATTTCTAACACAATTCACAGAACATTCAATATTTTTGTTTTTTAGACAAACAGTTGTCGCCTGAGAAGCAAATTGTTCTCTCAGTGGAGATAATCTCATATTTTTTCTGTCTCTTCTAGTTTTGAAAATTATTTCTTTCTTTCTTTTTTGTCAATATATCGCTTAGTCTTTTGTTTTCTACAAATTATATGGAATTAATTATTTCAATCCTCGTATATATCCTGTTATACCGAGTATTCCTTACATTGGATAGAAGGACGATAAAAATGGTTTTGATTTTGCGATATTATATATAAATAGTATTATATATAAAAATAGTTCATCCAATTTGTGTGGACATCGATTTTATGTATTTTTCGTCTCCTTTATAATGGAGAATAATATTAGTCTTAACAGTAATTTTTGTAAATGAAACTCAAAGTAATTATCATTAAATGTAGAAAACAATTGAGTTTGTGATCGCATTAAAGGTGTCCCAAACAACTGTTGCCCAATTAAGTTAATATACTTTTGTTTGTATGTTATTAATTAAATAACTTACACTTTTATCACTTTAATTTGTTTCAAACGAATTTTTAAATCGTTTTCAATTTATACTTTTGATGACAACATTTGTATAATATGTTGAATAAAACAAAAATAAAATTAGTTTTTTCATAAGATCGATACAAAGAATCACAAGTAAATAATTGTGTTAAATACAGTATTTGTAATTTTTAAAACTTTAACAATTTCATTGTTTAGAATTATAAATACTAAAGTTATATTATCTTATAATGAATGAAATTATGTATAATTAAATATCCAGTAATCAAATATTTAATTATATATGTTATATCAAATTTTTAAATAAATAAACTAATAATATTGTTATCTAAGATAAGTAATGTTCAATGTGTTAACATGTTAGCGACATTCAGGATAATAATGATATGTTTGGTCAATATTTTGCAACAATTTCAGTCATTCACTTCAGTCTGAATTGATTTTCACTCAAATAAATCATAAATATATAATATATGAGTGCATATCATGTCGCAAATGGACAGTATTTTTATTAAATAATCATATTTCTAAAATTTTAGTGATATGTATTTCACTTACAAGAAATGACTTAATTTTTAGTTTATGATAAAATACGTGAACTATTTGACAAAGACTTTGATGAATTGGAGTGAAAATATTGTGCACTTTTATCGTAAAAGTTTTGCCCCGAAATAAAAAGCAACACAAAAAATTGATATTGTTTGATGAATGTGTGCGCCATATATAATAATATATGTAATATCAGGCCATATATTATATAACGGATAAGTTTTACTTGACTTCCGAAAGCACTTACATTCCGGATAAGTTGTAATTTACACATACTTTTGAAGCCATATTCTGATTATCGGCTAATGTCTTCCCCATATCCTCCATACATATGCTAATCAATAAAATCATTGCAATAGTTATTAATTATTTTCCATTAGTATTGTAGAGCAATGTTTAATAAAATTTAATGTGTTTTACCGATTAAGTCATAACACGAGTGGGAAAATATATATATATAATTATTTTCTCGTCCATTCATTCGACATATTATTCCCATATTTAGGGAACTCTTAGCCCAGAGTAATACTGGCGCTCAATATCGACAGTTTTGTCATTTATTATACACATGTCATCCCCGGAGCACTTTTTATACTTCAATAACCATTATTTCTCGGCTGCATTAATAGTGGCCCTTAAGAATAACCATGTTTACTATATATTGTATAGTGTACGGTATGATATAACTTATTGTGTATGTGTACAGACTGTAGTATATTGCAGTCTAATCAACATTAGCACCATATAAACAATAATCTCACAAAATGGTCAGCAAAAAACATAGACATAATTTCACCGAAAAATATAAATCTATAAACATTTTGTTCGTTTAAATACCTCAATATATTGTGATTTATATTTTGACAGAAAATAATGAGCAAAAATGTATTATTTTTTTCCACAAAAACTCAATCTCTTTTTATTTTTACAGCATTTGTTAGCTTTAATCGATTTTATCCATTAATGAATACTTATTCAAGTCATACATTATTAAAGACACGAAAACTAATTAATGAATTAAACGACAAATGAATAATAATTGTCACATAGAGTTATACACAATTTAGCATAAAATAAATTACAGCACAGATTAAAACAAAGTTAATTTCTTTATATAAAATACATTTTCGATGTGTTTGTGAACTATTAAATTACCTGTTCTTGTAATGGGAGTCAATAATATCTTTAATACTATTAACAGAATATTTATTATCATGTGTTTTATTGTTTGGTGCTTTGATGAGAGGAGAGTCGGACACTGGACTCACACCTATGAGTGGGATATAATTTTGCATCAATTCATGGATAAGTTTTTGTCACTAAATATCAATATATTTGTTGTGAGCAAAAGCAACACATTATATAATACTTTTACTTTTTCACGTCTTTAGTGTTTGCAATAAATAAATACTTACTTTGAGCCAAATGTATGCCTTTAGTGGGGGTAGTGTTGGCCGGACTCGTTGTGGCAGATGTTGTCGACCAATCGGTTTGACTTACATTCTGGTGAATCGCTTTCTTGGTGTTGGGATTTATGCGCTTCAGATCAATAAAAAAGGGCGCAAAGTTATGGCTTTGAGAGATCCGCAGAGTTTTGTTCAATTTGTTCCCAATTGCCTTCAATTCGATCGAAATCTGTTCATTTAAGTCGGCTTTTGGTCGACCAATCAATTGCTGTTTTATCTGTTTGGCCATCGCTTCCATCTCATCCTCCTTTGCGCCCAATTGTTGTGTATTTTTCGATTCTTTCGATTCCTGTTTTAATAACTCTTTATCGCAATTATTTTCGTTGCATTTATCGCCGCTTTTATCAACTGTTTTGACGACTTTCTCATCACTTGTTTCGTCGGTTCCCTTGTTATCACTCTTTTCCTTATCGCTGTCCTCTTCTTCCTTATCTTCTTCTGTATTCTTCTGGTCGTTGTCTTCCTTTTCTTCCTTCTCTTCGCCATCTTTTGTCTCATTCTCTCCATTCTCTGTATCTTTTTTCTCCTCTTTTTCTGACACTTCTTTTGATTCGCTTTCCTCGTCGTCCTCTACTTCTGTTGCCTTACTTTCTGACTCTTTTGTCGAGTCTTTCTTCTCTTCCTCTTCGGCGTCATTGCTCTCATCGGACGCCTCTTTCTTATCGGTTTCTTTGCTGTCATCGCTCTCTTCGTCGGTGTTGTCCTTCTTGTCTCCCTCGCCGTCCAACTCCTTCTCCACGTCTGTATCGACACCTGTTTTGTTGTCATCGGTTTCGGTCTCCTTATCGCTGTCGTCGTCTTCCACTTTGCTTTCAGTTCTTTGTCTGAATTTATCGTTTTCTTTCTCTATCTTTGAGAGGAAGTTGTCGTGATTTTTAAGAAAATCTCCGGACGTCTTATAGTCCGCCTCCACATCCGTGTCCTCATCGCTAGTCTTGTCGTGTTTGGCCACCTGTTGGTTGGATTCCTTGAACTCGTCGTCAAACATAATCTTTTGCTGTCCCTCTTCGTCCTTCAGGTTCTCGTTTGCGAACTCTCTGTCGAAATACTTTTCCAAATCATCGGCGCTTACGTCCACTTCTTTAGCGAATTTGTTCTTCTTATCGGCGGAATTCTCATTGGTTTCCTCATCGATGTCCATCTCTTTAGGTTTTTCTGTCACTTCTTCGACAGTCTCCTCGTCGTCGTAGAAGTTCTCTTCTTTCCCCAAATTCATTGGCCTTTCCTCTGGTTTGTCTTCGGCTAAATCATCCCTTTCTACCTCTGGTCTCTCTGTCTCTGTTTTATCTTCATCTCTGTCTTCAAATGGCATATAAATGTCGGGCAACTCTGGAGGAGTCGGTGTGGCAATGGGTGAAGAGTCAAAGGGGTTATCATCGTGTGATTCATCCGCATTATGCAATTCATCCGATGGTATAATTCGAGTGATTTCTCTGACGATCGCTATTTCTTTGGGCCGTTTCGTAGTCTTGTGTAAATGTTTTGGCAAATTATTGCCAAATATAGGCACGAATTGATTCGTTTGTTTATTTATATGATTTGTGCGAAAATGGTCTTCATTTGGATCCCTATCCCCACGGAATGGCTGTGAGAGTGGCCTAACATTTATCGATTCGTATGGATTGTTGCGTTGAACGGCGTTTTGCCCGTAGTTTTGAATATTCTGATGATTGGCTTTGTTTTGATTTTGTTGCCTCTGTTTTGTTTGCTGTCTGTAGTGTTGGTTCGGTTGCTCTGATTGTTTGAATTGATTGCCAAAATTATGTGCACTTTTATGTGATTGTTGTTGAAATGGGCGATAGTTTTCGACAACTCTGCGCTCTTCTTCATCAGAGCTGATGACCGGCGGAAAGAAATTCAAATGTCTTTGATATTCGACTTCATTTTCCGGTGCATTCAAGTAGTCCTCTGACGGCTCCTCTGATTGAATGGTTGCCTCGTTTTGTGGGAACTCTTGTATTAATTCATCAGTTTTGGGATAAAATTTGTCTTTTTCTTCATGCGTTACATCAGATGAAAACGCCTCAAATCCATGTACTTTGGATTCTTCGCGATTCTTAGGCAAAACCATTTTCATTCCCATTGAGTACGGATTTGGTCTGACATTAGAGTTGCGATAATTCCTTCTGTTTTGCTCCTCAATCTCTCTCTCCATGTCATGGATTGGATCACTATTTTGATGATTGAAAGCAATATTTTGTCGATTATTCCTTTGCTTATGATTGCCGTCAAAATGTCTCAAATTATGGTTTTGTTCGTCAAAATTATCTAAACTCTGTATTTCGTCGAACTCTTCCTCTTTACTGAACGGCGACTGAATTCTCAAATGATTGTCATTTGCGATGATTTGCGGATATCGTGTACTTCGCGTCTGAAACGAGTTCTGTGGGTATGGTTTGAGCGGTGAATTCATTTGCATTTGTCGGGGATTTTGTTGCAACTGTTTCTGGAGTTGTCTTCCGTCGTGACTTTGATGTGACATAACTTCTTGTCTAACATTAGGTGGCCTTAAGTTGCGATCATTGCTCCGATAAGAGGGCTGTTGTCTGGGAGGGGATGTGGGCTCTCTTCGGGGAGATCTACTCTCCGGTGATCTTTCGTTTGGATTCTTCTCTCGTTTGGATTCCTTCTCTCATTAATTCTATGCATTGAAGGATCTCTTCCCTGAAAGCCTGTGAGCATAGGATTTAGTGGCGAGAATTGGTGCTTATGTATAGCCTTTTGGTTATGAGCCACATGTCTATTATATAGCTTTTGATTAGCATACGGTTGTCCGCAAACTATTATTATAACACATATTAAGCAAAATAATATTCTATACAAATACGAGAAACACATTTTATAAATATATTAACACTTTTGGTATTCTATTGATTTGCATAGATATTAATGTTAATCACATAAATAAGTGAATGAAAACATGAAATGAATGCATTGCATACAAACACATACACCCGAAGTCAAAGCACTCGTTCACAGAGTAATGATTTGGTGAATGAATGATCAATTGATGGAAAAATAAATGTTTGACTTCGAGTTATGCAGCGATGGGTTAAGTCAACGAAAGTTTTTCACTTAAAAAATTGTTTTTACAATAATTTTTAAAGAAAACCAAAAACACATTTCATCGATAATAATAATCGAGTTATGCCTAGTTTTCACTTACAATTTTCACATTCAACTAATCATAGCATAAGTAGTAATTTTTTTATAATATTTCGGGAAAGAAAATATTTAGTTTGAAGTTATATAACACAAAAACAGTGTTGTATTATATGGCGAGAAGCATGTGATGCGTGAATAGCCATAGAATAAATACTGTATAAATTTGTTTTGTATATGATTTAAGAGTTGGTTATTATATTTATAAGACTTTTCTTCGCAAACAGACATATAAGCCATGCATTGGATGTTATTTATTGTGTTCAATAAAGCGATGCCTTCGCCGCCGTTGATATGCTTCCTATGTATTCATCAAATGGCAAAAAACTAACCATTTCTTGTTGACTATCAATTAAAAAACTATTTGTACTAAAAATTTGCTTTTATTTCATTATAGCTCTTATTTTTTATAAACAATGTTTTAATTTAACTCGTTTTTTATATGTTTCTAATTTCATTAATATTATTATAAGAAAATTTTTATAAAAACTTATTTTTATTGTTTTTGAAAATCGAAATGATGTTACACTTTATATAAACTGTCAATGCATTCAAAAACAATTAACTTTTCCTATTTTTTTACCACAATTTTAATTTTCTTTTCTTTTTAGATATTAGTTTAGAATTTAATTAAAAACATATTAAGGATGTGTTCATACATGCAATCAAATTGTGTTTTAATTAAAGAATTCTCCTTTTCATATATAATTTGTTTAATTATTAATGTCTTATTATGAAAATATTTACAATACTTGTATTGAAGTGTATGTTTTCCGGATTGTGTTTTACATTATATGTAAATAAAAGGCATTTGAATTAACATTCCGTTTTGGCTTTTCTCTTATTCTTGTATTATTACATTCATTATGTGTTCAGCCATTTGTTAAAGTATTTCTTCTCATAATTATAAATCACATTAATTCCGCTTAAATAATACCGTTTCTCAATCAAGTAATTCAATGAAAAGCCATAATAATTGCTATTATTATTCTTTATATTTAATTTTTGATGCAAAAATTGCTGTATTATTGCCAGTAATCAAAATATCAATATTTATTTTTAACTTTTTTGGAAATTTAAAATTTGAATAATTTCTGGGAAATTAGTAAATTATATAATTTTAACAACACACGATAAACTTAATTAATAAATGAGCAGTAAATATTTGTGTAAATATCATTAAAATTAATTTTTAGTGAACAATTATAGACAATTTATAAGCTATTTATAACATACAGATTGACACTATTTTATAAGACATTGAATACACATATAATTTAAAGGTTGACTTCGATTTCAAAAGCCACTAAACTTTGTTAATACTAATTGTATTTTTATACTTTATTCCCACGATATAACTTATAACTAATTTCATTAAATTATATTATTATATCACTAAATTTCATTTTTTAATTAAAAAATAATTTTAAATATATAAAAATAGTTTATAAATAATGTAGTATAAGTAATGTAAACCGTAATATTGATTGAGAATGTGCTTTATCTTACAGAATATTCTTGAGTGTATTTATGGGGCAAAAATATTTTAAAAACTATTTTTCAATAAAAATAAATAACATATAAATTCAAAAGAATAAATA